CGTCCGCTCGATCTTTTCACGATATTTCCACCAATCACAGCCCCAATAAATGGCAGCCGGGGACGCCGGTTTGAAATTTCAAATGACCAAGTGCACCTCCCCGGTTGTATTTTATTGCGACACCAATCCATTTTTTCTCGCCACAGGACCTCGATATACAAAACGCAAGTTCATGTGTAACGCGACCGAATAAAAAGTTGAGACAAGCCAAAGAAATATGCCATGGCATACAAACCGCAAGTATATGCGTGGCGTGCGCAACGCAATTAAATTTCGAGCCACCGTTTCGAAACCCGAGCCAAATAAACAGAGATCGTCGGCGGGGGCGTGTATTTTTTTAAATTGCAACGCCGAGCGGCAAAGAAGGAGGGAGAAAAACGACTGTGCGAGCTGGTTCGGCTTCGAAAAAAGGATGTGGACCAGCCATTTGCAGCCACGTGGTCGTTGCGAGACCGCTTCTGATAGGCCAGCGGGCCCTTTCCCAGAGAACACTCAACGGCGCCGCCGATAGGTAAACACTGGACAGGGCGGCTTGAAGTTCCGGCACCGTAGAAGCCATGCAAGAGGCAGCCAGATAGCAGGTCGCGCATTTTTAAAATGCGCCATTCACACTATTTTGGTACAACACTAAAATAGGAACATCGATATACTGTAGGTTGGACACTATATCACTCGGTGGGGCGTTACTACGCAACACTATATCCGTTCAAAAAGTGTATATCGGCCAGGATCTCGGTCGTGGCTAGTGGAAGCGACAGCGTGGACACGCAGGTAGATGAAAAGCATGCTTTGCTGCTCGATTGCTGCAGAACTCTTCGGCCGCAAGCAGTAAGGGACTAGAAACAGTGTATGGACCCTTAAAACCAGCGGCCAATCAAGCCCCTCTTAGCTCGAACGAGCGTTTGCCTTTGAATGGGGTAGAACCAGTTTTTTCTGCGTTTTTCCAGCCGTTCCGCAAGCGAAACCAACCGACGAGTGGCCGCGCGGCCGTCGGTCATCCAGGCCGCGGCAGAGGCCTCGTCAGCCGACGCCTTCGCCGGATGCGAGCCGCGCCATCAGACCAAGCAACGCTGAGCGATGAGGAACTCGTCGCCACGCTGTACAAGACGACGTATCCGAGGAAGACGACGACATGCTCCAGCCAGACAACAACAAAAACAACGGTCAGGGGGACCACAACCAACATCAGAT